GAGCTACCGCACTAGATTCCTCCTCCACCACCCTTCTGATTCCATGGGCCTCTCCGGCCTCCTCGTCCTCTTGCAATCCTTCGGGCCTCACTGCTTTCTCTCCCCTTATTCACCTTGTTTTCCTTTTCTCTACAGTTTCTCAATTTTTATTTTTATTTTTCGTTGAACAAGGCAATTGATTTGGGGGAGAATTTCCATCAAACTATTTGTTTCAGCTTTAATTCGGCTTCTGGTTAGTGTTTACTAAAACAACAGTTGTAATCTAGTTGAAACTCTGAAAAATTACTTAGAATGTTTGTTTACAACTACTAGTGTTCGTTAACAGCTTAGTATTAACTAGAACAGTTAATATTAATTAGATCAGCTGGGTTCCATCAAACTTGACTGTTGGGTTCGGTGAAACCCAGATTGATTGGATTCCACCGAACCTAGCTTTACTGGTTCGACAAAACTCAACTTTATTGGGTTCCATCCAACCTAGCTGTTAGGTTAGATGTAACCCAAATCGACTGGGTTTGACAAAACTCAACTTTGTTGGGTTCAAAGAAGCCCAAACGTTAGGTTTAGAACTAGGTTCTGTTGATTTTCATTTTTCTTTAGAGTTGGGTTTGTCAAGTTCACCATATTTTCTCATTCTTCTTTCGATTCTCATTCTCAGTTCTTGATAATTTTAAGAGTTGATTTACAATTTGATTGCATTTATGTTGGAATTTGATTAGGGTTTGATTGACATTGTTTATTGAGGAGTTAATTTGATAGAGTGGAGATGAGAGAACATTCAGAGAAGAAGATATGAGTTAAGATCGATTTTGTAGATGAATTGGAGATAAGAGAGCGTTAGGGTTCACAGACATTTTATCCCTTTATTGGTTTTTTGTCAGTAATGTGAGACCCATTTGAGAGGTTTTGACCTATTTAATTCATGGAAATATGACATGGCATCATATTTTGTCCATATCAACACATTTTTAAGTTATTTTCTTCATGTTATAAAAAAATATAAAAAATGTCACGTGAACAGAATTAACAGCTCAAATTGACGGAATGATCAAAATTATGCAACTCTTAGAGTTGTGGAATCAAAAAATGCAAAAAATAGTTTAGGGACCAAAAAATGCAACTCTATAAAGTTGAGGGACCAAAATTAGTATTTAACCTAGATTTAATCCAAGATAAATAAATAAAAAAATGAGAGAGAGAGAAGGGAGAGAGAAGAAGTTACAAGTTATTTTCCCTCTTGTTGGTGTTACTTTTTTTAATTTCTATAGTTTTTATCTTTTTCTCTTATAATTTACAACAAGTCTATCATTTTGGACTTCAATTGTTAATACACTTTTTTTTTCGTAAGCATTAGTACACTTTTTCTTGACATAATTACAAAAAAGGTCTACAAAACTATACATAAAAACACAATTATTACTACAAGTTAAAATACTATATTTAGCTTTTTTTTAATTTTTAATTGATAACTCAAAATTCTGTTTAGTATGATTTTGATTTTCATAAAGTTTTTGATTCTAAACAAAAAAAAAAAAGAAATCATTTATTTTTATATATTTTTGTAATAT